AGTAGAGATCTATTAATTATTGATTATTTTTTAATAGTTGAGATCATGAATCAATTGAAGCTAGACCACCATGGAAAACCTGGAAGCACTGGACGACCATTTCGTCCATTTATGCGACTCCTCAGCAATGTGCATCCACGATCCCGCCTGGCGAGATTCAAACCCAGGACCTGTCGGTTTCGCGCGCGAGCACATAACCACTAGACCACTGAGCCGGCATCCAATTATTGATTACAATATAGGATTTGAACAATAAAGCTGAAAATACTGTAATGGAATGTACCTGAATAAATGTTACTTTTACATGTTATTGTCAAACATGAATATTCCGTTAGTTTTTAAATTTCAGTATAGAAAAGGTGAGTTAAAGTATATAACCCACATAGACTAATGATAACTACAAGTAGTTTATTTAGCACACTGTAATGATTAAAATTTACATATTAAAATAATCAGAAATGGTCGTTAGATCAATGACTTCACAGTTTATTACAAGTTATTTTTTAATAAATAAAGACTGTTTAGATGAATACGTGGGTTGAAATCTCATACAAGTTTGTACTTCACTGATAAATTCATGTAACCTTAAACTTCATTTCATCTACGTTCACCATTATTTTGGGTTTCCATTTTATATTACTTTCTACTAATTTGATGTAGATCTTATGATTTTGACCACTCAGATGGCTTTAGAATTCTGACAAGTAATGTTCGTTTTTTTCATAAACCCAACTACATGAACATCCGTTTATCAAATTTGCCATTTTATTTTCATCTTTTACGCTTATGCTTCTCTTTATTCCTTCTCCTCAGTGTTTTCTTCTTTTCCATTCACTTGTTTATTTTAGTTGATTAGTTTGTTATTATAGTGGTACACAATTAGTCACTGTTCCCTACATATAAACATGTAAAGATTTTTCTGATAACTTTGTTCTTATCTGTTTACTTAGAAACATTTCAATCGTTCATTCATGTGACTAACGCTGGAATACATCATGTGTTGGGGTTAGTAAATATAAAATTTAATTTCTTCTCAGTTTATTAAAACTGTACTTTAAGAGTAATATTACCTCCAAAAAGTTTATGCACAACTTGATGATTGAGTCAGATCTTCAAACAAAATCTTCAAATAGTTTGTAGGCTATGGTAGTGAAATCCAGTAATTTTTTTGATCAATCATTGGTATTCAAGTAATAGGGAATGTTTGAAGTAGATGTTACTTTTTTGAGGATAATTGAGTAGTACTTATTCATTGGATAAGCAAGATCTTTAGTTGTCAGTTTGCAGATGAACGATGCACAAATATATATATGTATATATCATAAGCAAGATGTACGAAGTGATACCTTCATGACTGTCCATAGAGATTTAGTACTAAACAAGCTAAAAAACTGTGCAAGCTCTTAACTGTTTCTTGGGAAGGTTTCAGATTACGTATACAGTCATCAAATTGAGACATCTGTCTTAAAAGAAACAACTTTGAAGGACAACTAACTTCGCTCTATTCTGTCATTGATACTAAAATACATTCATTATGATTTGTGAGGACTTTAGACCTGAAATTTTCCATCTTTTTTCTAATAACAGAACAGGTTAGATGACATAATAAGAACCCAGAAACCAATTGTTGGGGTTTTTGTTACATAATATTGATTTCCTCATCAACCAATCAGTTCTTTAAAACTTACTACTGAAGAAGCAATTTCCGCCAGATTGATTATCCTATCCAAGGAAATGGGTGAGATGTACTGGAAGAAATATTTTAGAGAGACTGACCAATTGCAGTCCTAACACATCGATGGAAAGATTCAAACAAACAATACTAAATGAATTTAGAAATATTTTTAGTTTTAAAATTTAACTACTGTAAGTAGTGTGAATCTTCTGCATAATTTTTTTAAAAGGACCAGTAAACGTCGGTGAAGCATCTGAATATAATCTTCGTGTTGAAATCCCCGGAAACCAATATTATTGAGTATAACAAATAAGTGTAAGTTTATAAAAAACATTTTGGCCCATTTGTAAATTATCGTCATAAATATGACACATAGCTATTTGTTTTCGGTTTTATTTATCGACAACCATTCATTTTAATTGAATGTAAACAGAAAAATTCCCCCCGCTAGCTAATGAAAACAAAAAGGTTGTTATATCTTTTTTGTAGCAGATCACTACACTGTTCTACAAATAAATAATTCGAGGCTTACATATTAACATCAACGTAATTCATTTATCGCTTACATGTTTACTTAGTCACCTTTAAGTCGAACGGTAATCTGAAACGTAAGAAGTAGTTATTGGAGCATGATTAAGACCCGTAAGTCAGTAGTTGAGAAACAAGTGATTTAGCCGACAAGTTATATAGTTTATGTGTGATAATCTGGATATCCCAGTTATTTTTTATTCACCTTTTCGTCGAGTTTTCGTGTATTATTGGATACTATTCATTCGGGAATAATGAAACAGAATTCGTCTCACTAGGAGTTCATTAGTCTTCTAAAGTAGGTAGCAGCTGAATAAAACGGTACCTGTTCAAGAAAATTACCTCAGACAACAACTTAAGAGTATTTTTTAAAGGTAAATAGTTCCCTATGGGGTCTGAAGTTTCAAGTTTCGATTTCTAGTGAGGTCGTGAGCTCGCACTTCCGAGTTCCAGGATATGACTATACAGTGGCTTCTGTCTCAGAATTCATTAAGCAGATATCCGTAAAAAAACTGAAAACTAAACCTGAATTTGGACCCGAAAATAGTAAGTGAAAAACCCAGAAATGTAAACTTTCGATTTCCTAAACTATCAAAACTGTATAAGAACTCTCGTCTAAATTAGAACGAATAGTTTCACAGTATTTGAGCGCCGAGTTGAAGTAATGTATCAAAACTGTAATTTATTGTTTCACAAAAAACTCTAAATCTAGATGGACTTTCTTTTATTTCGTGTTTGTGTTATGAAATAACTGAAATCTCAACAAGAACTAATTATTCGGTGGTCACATGTTACTATTTGTATAACTTCTTGAAATGAAATCCAATTGTCGCATGGTGTATTTCCATTTTTGGTTAGTACACGTGAAAAAGATGGCTATTCAAAAACGAAAATCCGCGTGATGCAATTTACCTCCTTTTAAAAATTAAGGAAATAAATATTATATATATATACATACATATGACGGAATTATGAAAAGGATATTATGGAGAGCATTAACTAGGATTCCTTAAATAACGTTATGTTTTTGTCAACGCAAAACCCCAAGACGTTTCTGCGACTGGATACTTACTAATATTTCATATGATTTGCAAATCCACATTATGAATTGCCGTATTCAGTAAATGATTCATGGCTATTATCAGGCTTCATGACGAAACATTCGTGATTAGCTGAGTACTAATGTAATCACAATAGATTGATCACTGGATGGTGATCAATGTCATGCGTGTCAAGTACTAATGTATTTAGGTGTAATATTGTTGGCTGGAATTTAAACGAGATTATGTGATATTTTGAAGTGCAAGATGCTCCCTGAGTTTGTAACTGATTAACAGCATAGAAAACTCAATGGATTTATTCTTTTGTAATGTTTTCAACTATGCAACATAAAACACATTGGACTATTAATTCATATCACTTGACAGAACCGTGTTAATAATAATAGTCAAGTCACTACTTCGGTAGTCCACGGTATACTACTTTACGAACGTCTTTCATCACTGAAAAGATAAAATCGAATCAATCCTCATACACGCTACCCTTTATTAACTTGAAACGAGAAAACAGAGATATGAACAGAATCAAAATGAGTTTAATTTATTTCACTAGGTTTTCATAGCTAATCACAACCTGTAATATAGTTTGTAACACATCGAAGTTGATACAATATACCAATCGATGAGAGATACCAGTCAATTGCATGATCAGGTCAACCGAACAAAAGTCAATAGGAATGAAAAAGTAAACGGATAAAACTAAACCTATTAAGAAAACCAATGTTATAAAAATGGGAATTATAGCGAACTGATATAACACTTATGGAACAACTGAAAAGCTCACATCTACTTGAAGTGGGAACTGATGATGTCGTCAAATACGATAATGAAAGTTTCTCAACTGAATCATCTAACTCAAAGAACACAATACCATCATAATATTCCCGGCCTCTGTGCTGAAGTGGTGGCTCAGTAGCGTAAATAATTAACTTACAACTATTAGATTACTGAGCATAATTATAGTATTAGGAGGTGTAGGAAGGATTTGAACGTGACTAACTTGGTCTCGCGTGCAGTTACGGGTATGAGGGCTAATATCACTTCCCGGCTGCCCACACCGTGGAAGGGCATTTCTTGAGGGACCTGAAAAGGAAGTTGGATTAGTGTTGGTCATAACGACCTGAGAGCGTGACCGCAGTGCCCAAGGGACAACTGCTTGAGGCCGGTCACACACGGCCTTTTTGTGGGGGATTTTTGACGTGTTAGCTCCGTTCTTCAAAGGACCTTACCGCCGGAGACGGAAATTCGTGGGATAAGGCGAGGTGTGCATTTTTAGGGTCGAACTTTTCTAACCCCACCCCTCCTTGTGAGAAGGCAGCATAGCTGTTATGCTGGTTGTCTGAAAGAAACACCTTACTGCCGTCACACCTCTGTAGCTCGATTGGTTCATCACGATAGGTAAGCCCGACCACCACGTCAAGGTAGTAGCAACGGTATATAAGTGAACTTGTAATATTTTTTGTTTTATTGTAGTTTTGAATACGGCGGTTGGTCAATTCATCGATGAATTATACACTTTGAATCGTCACTTATATTTAGACAGTCTAAGTATGTTAAACTATTATCTGATATTTAGTGGTTGAGAGTAGTAAGGAGGAAATCCAACTTCACTTAGATGTAATGCTAGTTGATTTTTATCAGAGCAAGAGATTCCTACAATCTTAAAGGAATTGATGATGTCTATGAGATTCGAACATGTGTCATTAAAGACTAGAAAGATAAGACACTGGTTATTGTTTAATAGATCAATCAACTTATTTATTATGTATAATGAGAACTCATCTAATCACTCAGTTAATCGTATTATTATTACTATGTTCAAAAAACTGTACAAATCCTATGCACATGGAATGTGAGATTATGTTGAAACAATAATAATAGTGAAACTAAACAAGGTTTTATGAAAAAATTGTTTTATGTAATGAGAAAAAATCAAGCAAACAAACAAGCAAATCATAAAATACAGAATTAAGAAAAAAGGAAGGTAAATACGCAATTATGATTTCAGTTGTGGTCTTAGTTGCTGAGTTTTTTAAAATTATTTTTCCGATTATTACATTGAGTATATAAGCAAAAAACAACTTGACTAATTGACTAACAATGTTACAAGACTCAGGTCACAGAAAACATAAACAACCAAATTGATCGATGAAAACAATAATGGTAGTAATAATGATAACGTTAATAATAATAAGATAAAGATTAGATAAAAAGAAAAAAATATGATCAGAATAGAACAAAATCAAAGGCAAATTTTTTTTGTTTTTTGTCAAGACCAAAATATGTAAATAACTAACAATAGAAAAATACAATTAGAAGTGTGTGTGTGTGTGTGTCGGTATTTTTGTGTGTTCAGGAAATGCATTATTAAAATGTAAAGATTATAAACTGAAGTTTTCAAAGAGAAAAATAATAATAATAAGATAACTCATAAACACTGAAGAATATTGTACTCACAGAACAAATAACAAATGATTGGTGATCAACAACACATGAATGATAGAGAAATTCGATAGTGTGCTCACTGACAGCATTAAATGAGTGTAATTCTCCATGATTGAAGCATACAATAGATTGTCTGTTATGAAGAAAAACAGAAATCAGAAATGAGAATTAAATGGTATAGTAAAGTAACTTATTTATTTATTTAAACGTATAAATGTTGGTACAAGGGGCACCAGATATATATACACCGCACAAATCTCATTTGATTTGTGTGAGGGATGTGATACTACCCAGGTGCCCAAATTGAAGCAGGTAGTTTTCTTAGGGGACCACACCCGGAGCCTTCGACCTAAAGGTTTGATCCACAAGGTAGTGGAGCATCGTAAGGAGATGCAATCGCATGGTAGCTGGTGACCAACAATTGGTTCATACGCCATTTGTTTCCTCGAGATACTGGAGCCCACGTGCACCATTGGCTTGGAATCGGGGTTACCCAACCCCCTAGGTGAACTCACCGAGTCAACTGGGCCGGTTAAAGTACCGGACATTCGTTCTCTCAATTTCGTAAACAACAGTAATACCACGAGAAGGCAGTGAGTAGGACTTCCCTGGCAAAGGCTATATACGCGTGGCCATGTGAGAGCATTTCGAGAGGGAGAGCGGACTTTTCCCATTCTCAGCCGTACCAGAGCACTTGGGGGCCATTCATAATAGTGATTTATTCCAGTAAATAAACGGATTACTATTGTTTTGTAAACCGTAAATATTATTTCACCATTTTTTTAAATGGCAACTAAAGTTACTGATACGTAAATGTTATTGACCATGTGAAGCTTCATGTAATACTGTAGATTAAGACAATGGGTAGAAGAAACGAATGAATGTTTATTGTGAGGAATCATAGTGTTTACGAAATATATATATATATATATATATATATATATGAATGTCCATCCATTTGCATCTTGCGATAATGTTCTACCTACGCTGTGCTTTTGATGTACTGAAACTCTTCACTTCGTCTGATGACTGTGACAGATTCAAGGCCACGTCCCGCTACACAAGGAATCTTGTGAGTAGCGTCCACCACAGTATTAGTTACACTTTTCACTAGAGGCATTTGTACTACATACTTGGCAAAACTTTAATAGGACGACTACAAATCAGAATCACGCGAAACAGACGTAGTTCAGTCTTATCGAGTTATTTGTTTTCTGGTTTTTGTTAGGGGCTGTGATTCAATTGTTCGTAATTCAAATTACATCTTATATGGTCATATATTTCAGTTATCTTCACTCAATTCACAAGTGGAAAATGGTTAGCATCATTTGGGCTTATTAAAAAGAAAAAGATGGTTCATATATTAGTAAACGGGCTTTTACTTCACTCATAATAAGGTAACCTTCTAATACCATGTATACACATACGACTTCAAAAACATTAATGTCATAAAGAACTAAAAAAATGTGAGAGCGTTATCATACAAATAATTATACACAAATCAAATACCTCGAAATAATAAAACTTACTGGGATATCCAATGGAAAATCTACGTATGAGAGTTTGCCAGTGAAACTGTTGTCATCCCCAAATTAATAGTACGATAATATCGTATATTGTAAACTAGTAATTCTATGGAATGATTAAATACTGTTATATCTTTAGTGTATAATTCCTTTTGATTTGTGTCATAGAAACAGGATAAAACTGAGCTACGTTGACTATTGTCTAAATTTCCTACAGTATTCAAATATGATGGAAGGAAATGTTGCACAAAGTGAAATAAAGCGTTAGATTGATGTTCGTTATTATTATTGATAGTACAATGATCATTAGAACTATCGTTACCTCTGCTAGAATCATAACTGTTTTGAGGACAAGATAAGTATGTAAATGAGGCAGCAAAATAATATACACTTTCAGTTAGTATATCTTTACATGAATTATGCTTATTATCAATTAATAGATTCAATATAGATGTAGTAAATACAGATAACCATGTTTTATTAAAATCATATAAATCAAACAGCTTATGTGATGTATTTAAATGAACTAATTTTTCAATAATAAATTTCACTGAACTCGAATTAACTTGGTCTGGATGTAATACAATAGAAAAGATAAACATAAGACGATGAAATATATCTGGATTATTCAAAGAATAACGTTGCATAATTGGTGTTAATATCATTGATTTATTGATTATTGATGATGTAATAGTTGTGTTACTAACAGAATTATTATTATTACGAGTAAAAAAGAAAGAAAAATTATTTGAGAAAATTGTAAATATTAATTCAAATAATTGTTGTATTAATTGACTATTATTTACACAAGCATTCATAATTAATTGATGTATCGTTTGTACATCATCAGTATAGACTATATTTGGAATAGTTGATAAAATAGGTAGAAAAACACAAATACATAATTCAAATGTATCTTTCAAAATTGGTAAAAATATTTTATGATGGGTTAGCAACAGTAATATATCAATAATTGGACTAATTAAATTAATTGGAAAGGAATTGGATACCGACGTTGTTGTTGTTGTTAAGGATGAAGTTGTACATAATGAATGAATAATTTGACCAATTAATTGTGGAATTGATAATAATGAATTATTAGAAATCGATAAAATACGAACAAATGTAGCTAAAAATATTAAATAAGCTGTACATAGTTTTATTTTTAATTCTGAATTTAAGTTTGTTGAATAAGAAGAGTTATTGGATAAAATTTTATTTAATAAACAATTGACTAGATTATCCATTAGACCTGAGTTTACCAGTTTTGTATAAACAAGTTGACGAGTAGAATTCTTAGCATTTTCAAGAGATAATATAGAATGATTAAGTAAACTTAAATAGGTAATATGTTGTTTTTGAGCAATTTCAAAATTGTTCTGATTTAAATTAGGTAAAAATAATTGTACAATTAATCGATCAAGTAATGAATCCCGGATGGAGGTCAATTTGTTTTGTTCATCATTAGTATTATTATAGTTAGATAAATGAGATATTGATTCATTTTCAGAAGTTAAATAAAATAGAAATGAAGACACTAAGGAGTTTAATATATTATAATTGATGGATGTTTGACACTTTTGTTCACAAACAGAATCAAATATACTGTTAAATATGGTAAATGTCCTAGAATTTACATTGAATATAATTGAGCTCGGGGGACGTATATCACGAAAAGATGAAGTAAATAAACAGTTAAATAATTGAGCACAACTATATATAATTCTTGAAGATATTAGAGTGGAGGAGGAAGAGGAAGGGGAAGACGACAAGTTGGTATCTTTAAGTAGTTTGAAGAAAGATTGAAAGATTTCCATGAGTTCTGAGTAGAAATGTTCACATTCAGTAGATAAGAGATAAATTTTATTATATGACAAATTATTACAGTCTGTAATAAATCCAATAGAACCGGAAACGATTAAAGCACGCCAGACAAGCAATACCTGAACAATAACTTCAACAAAACTCAGTCGTATAAGACGCTCGTTAATATTGTGAAGAGCGGGAAAAATCAAACTATTTAGACGTAAACAATACATAAGAGCACGTAGAATTTGTTGACCAAGTTCTTGATATTTTTCACAGCAAAACTTTTCTGACATAAAACCAACCACCTGTACAATTGAAGCAAAATCTCTTAAGATCCAATGAACACGATAGACTGGTTGACCTTTAGGGTAATTAAATACACCTGACAATAGACCAGTTGAATTCACCAATAAAGTATATTCATTTAAAATGCATTGAAACCGTTGAAAAAGTAGTACAGTAAAATCGTGGGGTAATAGACCCACTAAATGATGAAACGTTGATAAACTTTCACGAATAAATATTACATATTCACACGGTTCATTGTTTTGGTAATGATTTGTACGGAATTCCTCTGGGAAAACAATTGACAACAAACTATTCTCATCGTTAGTGGGATAAGACATATATAACATTTCATTTTCAAATATATCGTAATCCAATGTATCTAAATAGGCCGAGGACTCACTATAAAAAAGCCTAGAAAATAAAGCATTCCCAAATTCAGTGAGTATTCTATGTAAATTTGAATTAGATAATAAGTAATCAGATGACTGATGCGTAGAAAACTGAAGAGATTCGAATACACCAGACCAAATATTAATGCAAGATAAATATGTTTCGAAATTTGACGTGAAAAAGGTGAATTCACGGAAAGCTTGTAAAAATGTCATTAAACCATCCATTGAAAAGTTGCTATCTGAATTATTACTTGTATAAACAAATTTAAGACAACTTGGTAGTATACACCGAATAATCTCCAATAACTTCATCTCATAATCGTCACATTTAGCCTGTTTTTGTCTATCCATTGCAAGAGCACTAGAAATGTCATGATTATTATTGTTGAACTTGTTTCCACCATTCTGTGTAGAAATCTTGTTGAGTACAATACGACCACTAGTTAGGTTAAGATGACAAGTGATAAGCTGAAATACAAAGCTAGATTGATGTGTCATCAAACTGTCTACGTTTCGTTTCTCAACCAACTCATGTAAACAAGTCAAAGCAGTCAAACCAATCAACCTGAGGAGATCACAGTCGTGAGATGATAATGCAAAAGCTATCTCTGCTTCTACACAGGCTGACAAACATTGAGGAGATCCTATCAATGAGAAAATAAAAATCAGTATCAAAATTTCTACCAGGAGATCAGGTTGACCGGGCCATAACTTTAATACTTCGTGTAAGCATTCAAAACATTCAATCAGTGTGTAACATTTAGTCCCAGAATTTGTTAAACAATCACTGGCTAGAGATTCTAAGAAGACCAGAAGTGGTTGCCAAAGAGAATGCTGACTATTTTGAATCAACTGAGAATTTTGTCCCAATAAATAAGACTGAGATAGATTTATTAGATTTCCGCAATCAACACCGCCGCATAAATTTGAAATAAATGAACACAATAATCCACAGAATGTAGTAGTTTCTTTACGCAAAAAATTTTGAAGTTCAGTTTTCTTTGAATAACTTATCATTTCTGGTGGATTTAGGAAAGATTCATACATGGACTTGAGACAACACCAACCCATCAACGACGTTTTGATATCAGTTAAATTGCTAGATGAATCAATGAAGATATGAGACTTGAGAAATTCCATATAATCAATGTACTGATCAGGCCAATCAAAGCAAACAGTCAGTGATAGTAATTTTGTGGTCTTTTTTAATAGGAAGTTAGGTTGATCCAAACAGTTTTTATTAAGATAATCTTTCAAAAATGAACGCATTCTTAACTTATCATCTTTCGAAAGAAGTGGCCATTGGTGAATAATAGTTGTCTCAATAACGCCTAGACAATAGAGAACAACATACTGGTTTCTAGACATGGATAAATAACATATTGCATGATACCAGGCATTAGGAGAGTTTTCAAAATTTACTAATAAAATCTGTATTTCCTGACGTCGAGTTGAACTGGTTGAAGAACCATGGAATTCCGCCAACAATTTTGTTAAATCCTCGATTGAAGCTTCATTTGAGGCCATAAATTAGATCAGAAAATCGTGAATGAGTGTCGTTATGGGAAATCTAACGAGACAGAGAATAAATATACTGAACGCTTTCTGTAAGACATAAGAATTAAATTATTAAATCAAAACCCTGATGACTTAAGTATTGGCTACCGAAGGGTGTACTAATAATGATATAACTCTATGTAGTGAGAACAAAGCTGTGTAAAGATGAACCCCGTTACGTTGAATGTGAAACTGGCAAGATTTTTTTTTCCGTTTTTTGGAAATTCTTTTGAGCAGTTTTCAGAGAGTGCAGTCATATATATGAAATTAAATACTATTGCCGAAACCCGATAATATATCACGGCTCTCTACATGCCATATCTGTCCTCGTGTCAATTACGAAACATGTTCATAGATAAAGGGAACTGGAAAGCCATATACAAACGTATCCATTAAGCTGTAAGCTAAATATCTCCTGTCAAGAAACTTGCTGTTTTCTTGCTTGAAACATGATGAGTGCAACGGACACTAAGCTATCACCACAAATGCTTAGACTATCTGTCCTGAATACGACACAAAACTTCATAACCAACGGCATAACAACTTGTGTATATCATCGTGTTATTCTTGAAGATAAAACTAACAGGAATTAGGTTGCCTACCAGGTATCAAACCGAATTATCACATAGTTGAGGAGATAAGTTTAACGATTCATGACTACAGGATTTGACAATCATGTTGACGTACCACGGCTTTTTAGATATAATGAGAAAATTAGGCAACTCTAGTATGATTACGCACTGGAAATGCTGGAGACAGTTTCCTGACATTGTTGAGGGGTTCAATCCTTAACAGTTTGGGAATTCCTTAAAACGTAAACGAAGTCAATATTCTGACAATGCTAGTGCACAGCATATTTATTGTCGCGGAGCTTACAATGAGTTTTCTAGTTTGTCTTACACAATACTATGATGACCGGGGAATACAGCGTCTTCTTTTCTAGCTGGTCTTTGATCTCTCTATTTGTTCTACGTTTTGGCAAACCAAAATCAGTGACTTCGAGCTCCATTAAGTGCGCAGCTGTATAGTGAAAACTTTACTACTAAGGCCAAGTCCTCATAATGTTTTTCGTTCGGTATACATACCATATTATTACTTGTAAATGCGTTTACCTGAATTTAACTGGAAAACATTGTAGATTACTGGCATTTTAGGCTAAGTGGAAAGGCTAAGAATAGTATCCTAATATTCTTAAATTTGTTGACCTTCAGTGATAGAAATACACAATATATATATAGGCCTTGTCTTTTAAAAGACAAAACAATTGTTTGGTATATACATCCTATATTCTTGTTTAATAATGCGTATATCCTACAAATTAATATATGTAATCAGTTTTGAAAATAATATTGTGTAGGACTTTATGAGTAAGAGAAGTTATTCAATTTTAATGAGATCCAATAGGAAGCTGGCCCAACAGTAGCAGAGCCCCAACCGACCTTGAACCACTCACCAAAATCAGAAGTACCGCACTAAACATAAGATACTCCTTATGCAGTAGTACAGTAGGAACGGGTGACCGATGCCCTTAAGTCGTGGCTTCTCCAAAATTGTTATTTAATATTGCCCTATCCGAAAATTGAAAATTATTCTCTTTTCAGATAGAGTTTCAGGCTGAACACTGATAACAAGGGTTTGACAAGATAATTGAGCTCAACATGGAACACAGATCAATACACTGGATGGGGACCAGACAGAGTAACTTCTATACCGGATAAATTTCTGTTGAACGAGGATTGAAAGTTTCCGACTTATTAGTCTTCAATCCTCCTGTATAAGGCACTCATACCTCCGAATCACTTTGTCACTCTATAGCTAAACTTGTAGCGGTAAATAATTTACCAAAATAAATAGTTCTTTAGATCTTCGACATTGAAACTGACCTCATTAGATTTACCAGCCGCACTATAGCTGAAGGTGCTTGGTTGCGCACCCTTATCACATCATTAGTAGGTGCATCGTACTACATATGCTTGGCAAATACTAGCCAGCTTCAATCAAACGCTTCTCGACATACGGGTAACTTTCAAATATGTCTTCGAACTCATTCATCCCAGGCTTCTGAATTGACTGTGCTGATCTACTTCAGTGTTTCGGACGAAAGCGTTCCTAAGTCCTGAATATCTGTGGCATTTGTAGAGGTTAAGTCTAACTTGACCTGGTACACCAAACGATTAGTTGTGAGTCTGTCCCTTGTCGTAAAATCATGTCTTCTTTAATTTCTGCATATCATGATATTATTTTTGTATCCTCGGATTTTTCACGGTTACTTATATATTTCATCCTTAATATAACGAAATAGACACCCAAGCTGTTCAGAGCAAAGGCTATTGCGCTCCCCACCTTTCAATTTATGCCATTCAGGCCCGATACTATCGAAGCCTGGTTCCGCTGCACAGAAACTAACTTCCGCGACCACGGCGTGCTAGACTCACGTAAACAGTTCCTCGCAGCAGTTATTTCATTGTCACGCGATTTTAACAGGCAAGCTGCACCTGATATGCTTACTAGTGCCGTTTCCGAGCCCTAAGATGCTTCAAAAATGGCTATCCTTAAACGGAGTGACCAACCCAATGGACGAATGTCAGACCAGCTTTCTACAATATAAAATTGCTACATGGTTCAGCAACAGATATGTTTCTGGGTATGCTGAAGGTCATTTGTCAACGGACGTTCGATAAAGGCTTCTTAGACAACCCTTCTTATTTAAGCATTCCCGACTCGTTCAAGTGGTTCTCGGCTCGTCCCTAAATAACAACGTAGACAAACTGGCTATATCTTCCAACCATATTTTGCAGATCTTCAAGGAACCTAGCACCGGGGCGTGTTCTGCAGAAGGAAAGCCTGAAACGCACTGAAATGACATCTTGGATCTATGTCATACTCTTACCAGTTTTCTTGACATTCATTATAATCGCAGACGCACCAAAATATCCCGAAGAAGCCCTTCACTACAAATATCTTTCTTTAGAGGACAACAGGCAGATAACTTTGATCGTTATTGCACCACAAAAGATATAGGAGTCTCAGAAAATTCTTTGGTTCCTAAGACCCTAAGAGTTCCGCCACGACGAACGTTTCGGGAAGCTTCATCTCCGGGATGTGTTAACGGCAACTTCAGCTGGCTAACAAAGCCGTTTGTTGTACACCACCGATATATTACGAAAGTCTGTCATTTTGTGGACACGGACATAAATTTACATGTTTTTCCCGAGAATAATAATGACCGTTCACAGTAACCAGTTTTTAACTTAGCCAAGTAAAAACCGATCACCACACATGGTGAGAGATATGTCGATGATAGAATGGCTTTGCGCGAACCCATTCACCGGATTTTCGTTGTTCCAGACGTTTTTATGGCAAGCATTAGTATAGACCTGGTACAACACCATAATCTACATCTCAACACGGGCAAACACAGATTAGAAAGCGGAAGTACTAGAATGTCCGTTTGTAGAACTCGATTTTCTGGTTTTACGTTATGCTTAGCCGTTTTTAAGCTGATAGACGATCCGTTCCTCCAACAGACTATCGATATGTACCGTAAATTTAACAAAACGTTTTCAAAACCACCGTACTTAACCAGTAATGTTAAACACCACATCACGGCTACAGGACCACCTATATTTTCGAAAGCGCTCCGACTAGCTCTTGCAAAGCTAAGCTTGGGTGATATTGAGTTTAAGCGTATGATAGACTTGAGAATTATCTGACCATCAGACAACTCATGGCCATCTTCTTTGCATATGGTCTCTCAAAAGGACAGTAACGATTGGCATCCAGCTGATGACTATCGGTGACTAAATAAGAAAACTAATCCCGATCACTACTCCTTACTGCACATCCACGATCTGGCAGCTACTAATAAACGGTACAATCGTTTTCTCGAAAATCGATCTAGTTAAAGTATACGACCGAATTCCTATAACTCCAGGCCACTTTATTAAAACGGATATCACCACTCCTTTCGGATCATGAATTCTTAGGTATATCATCAGGTTTGAGAAATGCTGCACAAACTTCTTAAAGATTCATCGATGACCTATTCAAAGATTTTGATTTCGTGCACGCGCAAGTTGGTGACTGCGCGGTTAAAAGTTAGGATAAAGAATTTTAGCCCCATCAAGCGAACTTTGTTTTCAGTTGACTTCGAAACATGACACTACTGTGAATATTTACAAATGTCGAGGCGTCGCTGACTTCCCTGACTGTATCGGATACACCATTGACCCTAAGGTGTTCGCTTTCTATAAAACAAGCTGATAGCCAGTCAGGTCTTCCCAGAACCGACCTCACTCAAGCATTCACACAAGTTTAACAGGCTGGTACGTTCTCATCGATGGTTTATGCCGGATTCCGTGTCCCCCACGAGACCCTCAACAAACCGACTTGAGTGGCAATGCAAAAACGCACCCTTAACATTTATGGAAGTTGTTTCATAGGCATCTATGCTCGCACGCCATGGCATCAAAGCAACCATCAGTAGCGCCTTAAACACATCCAGCTCGATAATCAGAGTTCTTCAACAATGGGTAAACATTAAAAGGCAACGTTTAGCATTTTTCACTAGACGGTTGCAAAACACTCAATCGAGGCATAACACATTCGGTAGGGAATTTCAAGCAGCATATGATGCCGTGCAGCACGTTCACCTTGTTTACCGACCGTACACCACTTACGTTCACTTTCAGTTCGTCTATAGCAACCATCCTACAATCACTTTCGATTATAGCCAATTTTGGTTAAGCCCTTTTTTATAACTTACTTAACAGACATTGTCATTTGGATAGTAACAATTTGCATATTCTTTGCACTGCTATACCACTAGAGCACATGACACTCTAGCCGAAATGTTGACTGCTTAAATATCATTCGATGACTCATACTCCTCCCCATATATGTACGCACACAAATATTAATATCAGCCTTTGTTTTGCTTTGCTGTGCCCTTATTAAATTTGACTATAAATTGCTTATGTAATTGCTTGCTACTCGCTCGCTCGCTCGCTTGCTCCTCGTTCGTTTCCTTCGCTTGTTTGCCTGTTCACTCGCTCGTTATTATTCGCTCAGGTGTTGTTAACTTTCTGACCTGAGTCATTCGACAATAAACTGCAGTTGCTGCTATACTTTGTCTTCTGATTTTACGCGCCGTTAAGTTTAGAATTATAACGGTTAACGAATCGCGGCACTACACGTCTTCAGACAAGTATTCTTCTCATGAGTCTCAACGACTGGATTAAATTTCGAAGTTCACTTCAGATATACAGTGCATTTCTGGGGCCAACAATGTGATTGGAGACGCCTTGTGTCGTCCAACTTTTTTGAGCATTTTCCAAGGAATCGACCTTCTTTAACTCACCCAGCTCCAAAAAAGACACTGGTCTTCGCCACCAGTTTTCTTCCATAGCCCTAAAACTACGTATTAAACCGATGGAAACAAGTAAAGAAACTTTGTTATGTGAGACATCCATGGGTAAGTATACTTTATTTGTGCAGAAACAATGTCGGCGCATCGCTCTCAATAATAATAATAATAATAACAATAATAATATATTTCTGCGATAGCAGGTACACGCCATTTTTACAGGCATGATCTACAATTTACAACATATACTGGTTCACAGTATGCATCCCAAGCAAGGTTGTTTAGTAATATAATCTATAAAAGTTGATAGCAGTTCATTCGTCCAGATATATTGTGTTTTCATAAGAATAGTTTCCAAAGGGGCATCGCGTCCACGTTATATACCAGATCCAATCTCGACAAAAAGTGTAATAGGGTTTCGGTCGAGCTAAGTATTTATGTAATGCAGCTTTTTAAGTTTATAGTTGTTATAAAGTAGGCTTGTGGAGCGCCTGGTTCGAGCTATGACCTTGGGAAGGCGCGTTCTTCGAGTTTGTTCCAGATGTCAGAAGTTACATAGCTTCACCATCAGAGCAAGATTCTTCGTTGTTCACACTTTCTCATCCAGGTGTTCGTGCAACCATCAAGCTCATAGCAGAACGATTTTTCTGCCCTGGTGTTAATAAAGATGTGTGCGAGTGAGCACACTCCTGTGTAAATTGTCAGAAATTTCAGGTGATTAGAAACAGCAAATGTCCCTTAGGCTCTTCCAAAACTCCCAACGACATTTCACAGAAGGTTGTTGCTGATTTTATCTCACCAAAGGACACTGAGTGTCTTCCGTAGGCGATTGTTTGAAAATACCTGTACTCTTTTGATAATAATTGTGGTAGTTCTCCAAGTTTCTCTTCCGTACCGTAGAACTGTATTGATATTCATATTGAATATCCTGACTTTGATATTGGTTGACAGACATTAGTTTTATGTTCATTATGTTCTGCAACTGTAGGAATGTGATTTCTTTTCTAATCCTTGCCTTTACGTCTACATAGGATCCTCCTCGTTCATCAATGACGCTTCCCAGGTACGTGAAATATTTCACATCTTCCAGAGCTGATCCATCAAATGTGATTGGGTTGGTTGGTGCACTGGTTGTTGGATTTGAGGATTTCGCTCATTCC